CTCAGCCTCAGCCACAGCCTCAGCCTCAGCCTCAGCCTGCCTCAGCTTCAGCCTCAGCCTCAGCCTGCCTCGGCTTGCCTCAGCCTCAGCCTCAGCCTGCCTCGGCCTCAGCCTCAGCCTCAGCCTGCCTCAGCCTCAGCGTCAGCCTCTCAGCCTCAGCCTGCATCAGCCTCAGCCTCAGCCTGCCTCAGCCTCAGCCTCAGCCGCAACTTGCCTCAGCCTCAGCCACAGCCTCAGCCTCAGCCTCAGCCTGCCTCAGCTTCAGCCTCAGCCTCAGCCTGCCTGGGCTTGCCTCGGCCTCAGCCTCAGCCTGCCTCGGCCTCAGCCTCAGCCTCAGCCTGCCTCAGCCTCAGCCTCAGCCTCAGCCTCAGCCTGCATCAGCCTCAGCCTCAGCCTGCCTCAGCCGCAGCTTGCCTCAGCCTCAGCCTCAGCCTCCGCCTCAGCCTCAGCCTCTCAGCTTCAGCTTCAGCCTCAGCCTGCCTCGCGCCTCGGCCTCAGCCTCAGCCTGCCTCAGCCTCAGCCTCAGCCTGCCTCAGCCTCAGCCTCAGCCTGCCTCAGCCTCAGCTGCCTCAGCCTGCCTCAGCCTCAGCCCTCAGCCTCAGCCTCAGCCTCAGCCTGCCTCAGCCTTTGCCTCAGCCTCAGCCTCAGCGCCTCAGCCTCAGCCTCAGCCTCAGCCTTGCAACTTGCCTCAGCCTCAGCCTCAGCCTCAGCCTCAGCCTCAGCCTGCCTCAGCTTCAGCCTCAGCCTCAGCCTGCCTGGGCTTGCCTCGGCCTCAGCCTCAGCCTGCCTCGGCCTCAGCCTCAGCCTCAGCCTCAGCCTCAGCCTCAGCCTGCCTCAGCCTCAGCCTGCATCAGCCTCAGCCTCAGCCTGCCTCAGCCGCAGCCTTGCCTCAGCCTCAGCCACAGCCTCAGCCTCAGCCTCAGCCTGCCTCAGCTTCAGCCTCAGCCTCAGCCTGCCTCGGCCTCAGCCTCGGCCTCAGCCTCAGCCTGCCTCAGCCACAGCCTCAGCCTCAGCCTGCCTCAGCCTCAGCGTCAGCCTCTCAGCCTCAGCCTGCATCAGCCTCAGCCTCAGCCTCAGCCTGCCTCAGGCTCAGTCTCAGCCTGCCTCAGCCTCAGCTTGCCTCAGCCTCAGCCTCACAGTTGGCTCCGGGCAATCAAAATGTAGCCTGGGAGTGGTGTTCTGGGAACACGAAGAACACGAAGTGGCCTGCAGCTGGCTCCGGGCAATCAAAATGTAGCCTGGGAATGGTGTTCTGGGAACACGAAGAACACGAAGTGGCCTGCAGTTGGCTCCGGGCATTCAAAATGTGGCCCGGGAATGGTTTTCTGGGAACACGAAGAACACGAAGTGGCCTACAGCTGGCTCCGGGCATTCAAAATGTGGCCCAGGAATGGTGTTCTGGGAACACGAAGAACACGAAGTGGTTTACAGTTGGCTCTGGGCATTCAAAATCATGCCCAGGAATGGAGTTCTGGGAACTCGAAGACCACGAAGTGCGTTACTGTTGGCTTAAAACGAGTTCCCCGGCATCCCCCCGGATCGCGCCCAGACCCCCCGGGGGCGTCATGATGCTCTCTTTTGACCCTACTAGAGACCTATCAGTCTTCGCTGTTATTTTAAAAGGCAATAAGGCAACAGCAATTGAAAAACATGTTTGTTTTAGATGCGGGCCTCTCGGGTAATCTCGTGGAGGCTCCGTGGCCACTGGAAGCAGCGTTGGGGGGTGTAGGAGCTCTTTTGGAACCCCGTCGCAGGGCAGCTCAGAGGCGTCGGAGAGTGGGATCTGGAGGTTCTCGGGGCCTAGAAGGTGCCTTGAGGAGCTCGTGCCCCCACCGGCACGTGTTCCCGTTGTTGTTCGTCGAGGGCTTCTCGGGAGCCTCCCCTTCTCCCGTTCAGGACCAGACTCCAGGATCAAGGTCTGGGGATGTGTTCAGAGCTGCGGGGGCCTCCAGTGACCTCGGGAGAGACCTCCAGGGACCTCCAGGGTGGAAGAGGGATCGTGGCTTCCCCGCCCTCCCCGCCCCTCCCCCTCCCCGCCCCCCTCCCTGCGGCTATCCAGGGCGAGGCCTACAGGGCCGGTATGGGGTTGTGGCCACATGCCCCTGGCTTGAAGGTCCACACAAGTTCGAGCTGGTTCGGGGCCCAGAAGAAACTATGGCTGCGTGTTCTTACAACGGCCGCGTGCGCCGTAAGTGTGCGAGTGTTCCACTTGTTGGCAAGACATGCACGTGCAGAGTGGTTTGCGTGGAGACGGTCGCTCGACAACTCGCGAGCACGATCAGTTGTTCCATTCTTACCCTTTAGGTGTTGCTCAAAATGTGTGGAATCGAGTTTTCGGTTACACCGCATCGCTCAAGGACACTTTCTGCTACCGCTGTTGTCCCTTGTGTGTGTCGTGTCGATGCGGGGAGCAGGCACGCGTCAACAACACGAAGTTGTCGCCTTTCAACTGCGAGAGCGGGCTGTGGGAGTACCAGACAGGCTGGTCGCTGAGCAAGAGGACGCCGTGCTCCAGCGAGCCTCCACTGCACCCCGTCTTCGAACGAACGTTTCTTGATCGACATCGTTATGCTTCCAGCTATGGTCGGCCTTGCATCATGTGTCCCGGTTTCGAGCCATTGTTATTGGCACCCGCAGCTCAGCGACGAGAGTGATGCAAGCAAGGGAAGATTGGATGGAGAGCATAATATCGCAAGTGTGGCAGCACCCGAAGCAGATGAGTACGACGAACACCACACAGCATTAGAAGCCAATCGAGTAACCCTGGCAGGAGCTGGCAGGATGGGGCATCGGTTTGCGTAGGGGGATGTGTCACGCCCTTGCGAACAGACATACCGTTTCCACATGGATACTGGCAATCGTGTAAGTTGCGACATAGTTGAGCAGTCTCGCGCTGGCTCCACAGCCTCGTCTTGCTCGCCAACGAGTGGGGCAGTGCCCATACGGCAGGCTCGTGCCAGGTCGACGCGGCGCCGACCCCAGCGCGGGCGTTCAGTATTGAACGCCGGAAGTGGCCCAGAACTCGCCGACATCGAACGACTTGGTCCATCGGAAAGTTGTCTTCGCCGAAGGTCGGGACGATCGTCAGATTAGCGGAGCGAGCGAAGAGCAGACCACACACACACATATTATAGATGTAATATCCGTATACATATATATATATATATATATGTGTGTGTGTGTGTTCCGCCATCGGAAACCCCTGGGTCCCAGGGCGGCTGGAACGGTTGTACTCCTGTGGTGGCACGTCGGGGTATAAGTTTCCCAGCAGCCCTGGAGCAGCGTCCCCGATGGCGGACAGGCTTACGTTATCGGGCGGGGTGGGGACGAGGATAGATCCGTTCCAGAGCGGCTTGTGCGTTTTCCGCCAGTAGTCGCAGATTGCACGACGGGTGTAATTCTCATCGATGGTTTTTATCGTACATGATATATCCGATGCAGAGCATTCCGGAACGCTCTGAGAAGGCCACGGCGCCCGATACATCCTCAAAGCCCGCCGATCCAGAGAGTTCCGATCTACATGGGTTTCGGTGGCGTTTCGATTCTGCTCTCGTCTTAAGGGGGGGCAGGAGGAGGGGTGCCTAAGGGGAGGGAGAGGGAAGGAGGAGGGGGGCGGAAGTTTGGAGGGGGGGGGAGAGGGCGGTCCTCCCACTCTGCTCCTCCCCCGTCCACAGGGGCCCCCAGCGGTGTCTCCCGAGGCCTCCCGCGGAGCCCAACCCTTCTGGTAAGGGGAAGCGGCCGGTCCGCATGATGGGTTTTGAAGTCCCGGGGATGTTCCGAACATGAACACTGGGGTCGCAGGCGGCCTCCGCCTTCGGAGAGACGTACGCTCGCTCCCTCCAGGAGCGACGAAGATGGCGGAGAAGCGGCGAAGATGGGTGAGAGAGTGAGACAGAGTGGGCTGGCGACAGAGTGAGAGAGGGAGAGAGAGAGCAGCGGCGAAGATGGGTGAGGCCCTTGGATTTCTGGAGGTCCAAAGTTCGCCCTCCAGACCTGCAGGCTTGCACGGGCTGCCTCTCAGACCGCGACCCGAACACCGGGACCCAAGGTCCTGGTTTATGTTTCAGCCCTCCTGGAAGGTCAAGGGGGGAGGGGGATGAGGGATCAAGGGAAAGGGATGATTTCCCCCCCCTCCATTCCTCCTCCTCCTCCTCCCCCTCCTCCTCGTCCTCCTCCTCCTGCCTCCTACTGCTCCTCCCCCATCCACCTCCACATGCTCCGCCCCCTCCCTCGTCACCCTCCGCTCAATGGAGGGGAGCGAGCGAGGGCCCAACACTCCCCGATGGGGGGGGGCGCAGTTGGGGCCCTCCATGTCCGCCGCCCCCCGGTCCTTCCTTTTCTCCTCCGCGTCGCTCCTCCTCCCCCGGCGCCTCGGTTCTCCCCGCCACCCTCCCGCTCCTCCTCACCGCCCTTCTCCGCGCCTGCAGCTCTAGCTCCTCATGCTCCTCGGTCCTCCTCCTCCTCCTCCTCCTCCTCCTCCTCCTCCTCCTCCTCTTCCTCCTTTTCCTCCTCCTCCTCCTCCTCCTCCTCCTCCTCCTCGGTCCTCGCCCTCCGCCCCGACCCTTCTCCTCTCCCATCCCTCTTCCCTGTAGACCGCTCCTCCCCGTCGCAGCCCCAGGAAGTCTCCGTTGGTCGGGCCAGGCCCGGCGTTCCTCGCGAGATTGCGTCATCGTGTTATGATCTTGAAGTTTGAAAGTCTTGACCTCCTAGATGGGGTCGGAGCAGGTGGGGTCGGAGGATCGCGCCGCATCTCCGATGCATCGCCGCTGCGGCTCGATGTGGAGCCCGATTTGCTTCACGTCGACGTCGCCGATGCATCGCCGACGTCGGCGATGCATCGCCGATGTATCGACGATGCGGTGCGATCCTCCGACCCCGACCCCATCTAGGAGGCCTTTAGAAAGTTGCAGCAGTTTCGGGGATGGAGCACAGGTCGTTTTCAAAATGGGGTTCTCGCCCCAGCGCCGCGCGCATTAGCACCGCGCGCATTAGCGCCGCGCGCATCCGTCTCAAAGTTCGCAACAGCTTCGATGAAGAAACGCGGGTCGTTTTCGAAACGGAGCTCTCGCCCGAGCGTTGCGCACTTTCACTCAAAAGCTTGCAACTCATTCCTGGATAGAAGGGGTCGTGTTCAGAATAATGATTATCCCTCTATCGCATATCAGCTCGACCTGTCTGTAATAGTTTCAAGGAGAGAAGGCTGTTCCATTTCACGATGTGGCTCTCGCCTTAACGCCGTTCACATTCGCTTCAAAAGTCGGCAACAGTTTCAATGAAGGCGGGCGGCTGGTTTTCGAAATGGGGCTCTCGCCTTAGCAGGACGACTCGAAATGAAATTGTAATTATTCGACCGGCTTCTTAAACATGGAGGGTGGTGCAGTGCAGCACTGCTCACAGTAGGATTATCGGTTGAGACCTCTTCGACCTCTTCGATTTCCGTTACCAGAAGTTGGCGACGTTTCGCGTATCCCCACCAGCCCATCCAGAAACGATGCCCAGGGTAGTTGAGGTGATCAGGGAAGTGGGGGAGCATGCAAGAGAACAAAAGGGCGGGGTAAGCCGTCCGAGGTGGGGGAGGAAGAAGAGGGAGGAGGGAGGAGGAGGAGGAGGAGGTCCGTCGTCATTTTAGCTCAAGCTGGATCAGGTCCAATGCGAGCGGGCAGCTTTTCCTCGAGCGATCCAGTGTGTCGTGCACTGGCGGACATTTACCGTACCTCTCCTATGTCGCATTCTGTCAGCTACCTGAGTAGCTGCGGGCGCTTCACAAGTCTTGTGCGAGCGACAGTATGGCTGACATTGGCGAGCGTGCTGCAGAGTTGCACCGTCAGAAGACCTCTCGTGGGCATAGCGGCAAGCGACGTCCCGCTGCTCTCGACGAGGAAGACGGGTTCCTTTCAACAAAAGAGGAGACGCTACGTGACGGTGCGAGTACTTCTGCTGATACTGGCATCCCTTCTTCTCCTCAGCGTGGCCTTCCTGTTCAACCCGGCCGTGAGGCATTGGCACTTAAATCTCACGTGGGCGCGTCTCACAATAGGTCTTGGCGGCAATCGCAGCAGTGCAAGCTAACGTTCAGGCCCTTTTCCACAGCCATGCCAATTCATGCGAATAACGTCGACGAGCAGGTCGAGCTCCGCATGCGAAAGGCAGAGACGCAGCTCAACGGACATGAGGATCGCATTGTGGTTCTGGAACGTCAGATGAAGTACCTCACCGAGCAGGTGCATTGCATCAAGAATGAGGAGCCCGTGGTACCTTCGGCACCGCCTGGCTTCGACAGGCCCCCGAACCCGACCATCCTGGTGGTCCGCAGCAAGGAGGTGGTGTCCGCGAGCGCTGTGCGCGAAGCGGTCGCGCCGTGGCTCACCGACGCTACCGTGGACGTGGAGGATTGGGAGATCACCCCAGCCGCCGCCGCGCCGACGGCCAAAAAGCACGAGACCCAGATCACAGGAAGCGCACAATGGGCAGCACGTGCAGTTCGCCAAGCTCTGGGTGCGCTACGTGGTCGCGATGGAGTTTGGAGGAAGTTCTCAGCACCGACACCGATGGGCCCCCACGCGCGCCCCTTTGTCAGCGTAGACAGATATCAGTTGCAAGTCCGCTGCGAACTGGGACGCAGGCTCATCCGAAGTGAGTTCGCGCAAGAGTATGTGGGCAAACGTTTTTTGCCCGCGCATTGCGAGCGCGATGAGATCTCGCTTGCCTGGAAGAGGCTGCTCCACTACACCCCGCAGACGGCCAGCCCTTCGCAGATCGAGTGGAACGAAGCGAACCTCGCCCCCCAGGGTCTTAGCAAGGCGGCTCCGGCGCCCCGTGCGCGGCGCCTTTCCGCGAGCAGGAGGACTCTGATCAGTGGTCTCTTCAACGCGTTTCTGGGGCCCTCGGCGGCTTCCAGTCCCGCGGGCGCCTCTCTCAGTTTCATAAGTTGGAACGGCAATCCCCCCTCCCATCGCCATCCTCCATGACGTTCTCAGAAGTACCAGTACTTCGCCTACCCCATGCCCCCAAGCAGCGTCGTTGCAATGCATGAAACTCACGGCGCAGAAGAATTCGCACGGGACCTGGTTCACGTCGTTCACAAGCCGCACCCGCGTCGCGCATCTGTCAAGACGATCCCCAACCCGTTGGTGGAGGAGAAAGAAATGGCCTGGATTCCTGACCCGTGCGCTGGAGGGATCATCACCTTGATTCCACAACCTTCGAACCCTGAGGTCGTCTTGGAGACGTCTTCTGGGGCTCTCGCCCCTGGCCGTGCATCACGCGCAATGATGGCGTTTGATCACGGGACCTCCTGGGTAGCCCACTATAACATTCACAATTTCGGGCTCGCTGCTGAACAGAAAAGATCATCGCACAACAGATCGAACAACAGCGTCTCGAAGCCGCCGAAGATGCACAACATCGACTCGTCGTCGTCGTCGTCGTCGGGGACTCTAACACAGCCGCCGTTCCACCTGTCCCAGTCGACCCTTTTCTAATCCAGGGCCCTGGCATTGG